AAGTTAAATAAAAGAGATCCCCAAAAGGAAGACTATGCCCGAATATACATTTAAACAAAAAACACAAAGAGCACAGCACCCACTACACCTATGAAACTAACAGGCACAAAAACTATGTGTGGTGAATCAGTATCGACTCTTGCCCTAACTCCCCCCTTTTGCCAGCCCCGTGCTGGTAAAAACACACAAGAACCAAAACGCAGTACTTGCACACAAATACACACATAGGAGGCACACAAGTCAACTGGCCATGACGAGCTGCCGTGAACCACTGGTGGGCTCTCCTTAAGAGCTGGAGGTAAGGCTGAGGTGGTGACGTGCCATTGGGTGCGCTGGGACAGGGTGGACCAATGGGTGGAGCTGGAGTGAACCTGACAGATCCACCGAAACCAGGAAGTAGGCGGGGCTTCAGTCCACAGGGCCGCACAGCCTACTTGGTAAAGGCAAGACAAGACAGAAAAATACAGACCACGGTGACAGCCGTGACAGCTCACACTGACCATTTCCTTCAGTATGGTATGAGGTAGCTCTGCTGAGAAAGACGAAGTTCAGGGAAAGTTTGTTGTGGCCAGGCTGCAGGCTCTTTCCCAACCCCAAAGCTTGCTGTAAATGCTTTGGCATTGCAGTGCCTGGAAGCATTGCTGCGACATCCTGGGGACCCGGAGGATGCTGACGAGAAAGAGCATCAGCGTTTGTGTTACTCTTTCCGGATCTATACTTTAACTCAAAATCAAAAGAGGCTAGTTGGGCTGCCCACCTCTGCTCAGTAGCAGCCAGCTTGGCAGAAGAAAAATGGCTTAGGGTGTTGTCTGTGTACACAACACATTTATTACCCAACAAGTATTCTCTGAATTTTTCGGTCATGGCCCACTTAAGGGCCAAAAACTCGAGTTTCATGGAGCTGTAGTTTACAATGTTCCTTTCGGTCAGTCGCAGGCCCCTGCTGGCGTAGGCTATCGGCCTCAACTTGCCTGCCTGAGCCTGAGAAAGGACCGCACCCAAGCCACCATAGCTGGCATCAACCTCAAGAACGAATGGAAGAGTGAAGTCGGCATACGCCAACACCGGGGCTGTAGTGAGCTTAGCTTTCAGTGTTTCAACGCTCTGGTTACACTCGTCAGTCCAGCACCTGGAAAACTGCTGCTCGACCTTACGGGTCTTTGTGCCACCAGACTCAGCCACAGCCCTATGCAGAGGAGCTGCCAGCTTGGCAAAACCTTCCACAAACCGACGATAGTAACTGGCAAAACCAAGGAAAGATCGAAGCTCCACGGTAGTAGTGGTAATCGGCCAATTGGCAACCACTTCAATTTTGCCTGGGTCTGTGGAGACACCGTCAGCTGATAATATATGGCCAAAATAGTGTACCTCTTTACGAAGGAAGAAGCACTTACTGAGCTTGGCTTTGAGGCACTCATGTTTTAGACGCTCCAGCACCACCTGGAGTCTCTCAATATGTTGTTCCACTGTAGAGGAAAACACGACAATATCATTACATTACATTACATTACATGTCATTTAGCTGACGCTTTTATCCAAAGCGACGTACAATAAGTGCATTCAACCATAGGGTACAATATCATCAAGATATATCAATAACGATTGACACTGCTGGTCACCAAAGATACGCTGCATTAACCCCTGGAATGTACAGGGCGCGTTACAGAGCCCAAAAGGCATCCTGTTCCACTCGAACAAACCAAAGGGTGTACAGAAAGCAGTCTTAGGCCGGTCGGCCTCAGTGACAGGCACCTGATTATAACCACTGGCCAAGTCGAGGGTTGAGAACCAGCGAGCACCGCACAATGCATCCAGAGATTCCTCTATATGGGGCAGAGGAAAGGCATCTCGTCGGGTCTTACTATTGAGCTGTCGATAGTCAACACACATGCAGATGCTACCATCTTTCTTACGTACTAACACAATAGGGGACGCATAGGGGCTGCTACTCTCACAGATCACTTTGGATGAGAGCAGCTGGTTGATGTGCTCCTTCACAACCTCATACTCAGAGGGTGGAATGCGCCTATAGCGCTGCTTCACTGGAGTGTCATTAATCAAAGGGATGTCATGAGGGATTAGATTTGTATAACCTAGATCCCTGTCATTAACTGAGAAAACTGAGAGTAATGTTCCAGCAAGGACCTCACCGGACCCTGTTCCTCTGCAGACAACAATGACAAATCCACACTCCGCACCTGCTCCTGCACACTAGGAGAAGCTGACTGGGAAGACACGGTGGCTACACCTGATGGAACCTCATTCACTCCCGAAGAAAGGCTGACCACATTCACCAAATCCAGTGTGCCGCAACAGTGCAGGGGTACAAAACAACATTGTTGCAGCCAACATTAATGACAGGTATGTACGCTGTGCCTCTGATGACACGAACTAAAGATGGTGAAGCACGAAGCCCCGCATGCGAACCAACCTCCAAAGGCTCAAACAGTACCGAAGAACCGTAATACTGCTCAGAACATGTGGCAGCCACAAGTTTCATCACACCACCAGGAATCTGCCAACCCCTCTTACCCCTGCCCTTCACTTTCCCTAGAACGTCCTGAGAAGCTAGATCACTAGCATGATGGCACTGTTGGAGTGCCTGCACGATGGGCTTGGGAGCTGCAGATACACAAACCTGGGAAAACAAAGCTCCGCCATATTGGCCAAAGAGCTTCTGATAGCACTTACGAATCACATTCATCCCTAAGACACCAGGCACACAAGAAGGCGCACCACCAGGGGGGTCCCTCACCACCAAGACACCACATCGGGCATCAATTTACCACAAAGTTGCACGTCCAGCTCCAAATACCCAAGGTATGGAATAGTCAGACCATTGGCAGCTCTAAGCTCCAACCAATGGCCCCAAGGCTCAAGATGTTGATGGAAAAAGCTCTCCGAAATTTTAGACACCATGGAGCCGGTGTCTACCAGACAAGGAATCGTCACGCCACCCATGTCCACATCCAACTGGGGGCAAGAGGAAATCAAGCTGGAAGCATCCAGGTTGCGTGAAGCAGCTTGTGAGCCAATAGCGGCCCCACCCAAACTGTGGCTCTGCAGTTCGGTGGGCACTAGTTTTCCGACACCGGAGGGGAGCGAGACTGCCTGCCAGAAGTCAAAAGGGGGCGTGACGGAAAGTGGGAACGAGAAGAACCACGCCCCCTATCACATTCACGTGCAAAGCATTCACAGTGTCCCGGCTCATTACAACGCCTACAAAGCAAGGGGCCAGACCGTGGTGGATGACGGTACTGGTTAGAGTTCTGCAGCTGAGCAATGCTTCCCATGAGCTGACTAAGTTGCTCTTGCTGACACTTTAACATCTCTCTCATTTCACTAATTTCAGACATCGAGGAGGATGGAACAGCAGCCTGTGGGCCACCCTGAACAACATACTGGACACCATATACTGACGGGACAGATTGGCTGCGGCCTCTCACACCACCAGGCAAACCCTCACGCTCCCAGCGAATCGCCTCGGCCCTCACATCAAGCAAGGTGCAATTAGGCTGATGACGCACCAACTGCTTTAACTCACGGCGCAGTGAACTAAAGACCGGATTTTCTCCTAATTATGTGCCCTCGTCCCTCTGACATATTCCCCACGCGTCACCAGGCGTTTTTCTTGTCCTTTTACCGCGCACGGCCGACCAGCGAACACAGAGCGCGCGACTACTACACCCCCCCCCACCGGACTTTCTCGACCGGTCCGCGAAATATTGTCTGACATGAAACCGGTCCGTGAGGTAAAAAAGGGTGGGGACCACTGCACTACACTACAAATGATGCTAAGGAACCACAAAAGTCAAACCTGTAGTAGGCACCTCACCAAAAACTCATGGAGATCCACTACGAGCCACTGCTGTTTTGTCTCCAATTTCCCCAATATGCAGAGGCAACCGCTGCCTGTCTCCGAACACTTTAACAAAAAAACTAAAACAAATTAAACCACATAACAAAACCATGAACATACGTCTCAGCTGTTTTTAGGAAGAGTAGTCCTGCCAGCAACGCCAAGTTTGTGGCGAGGATAGGGTGGAAAAGGGGAATGCAACTAAAGGAAAACCAACAACGCCACTCTGGGAATTTCACCCCGAGAAATAATGAGGAATGTACAGGGCCCACAGGTAAGTTTACTCGTTTTAGGCAGGAGACGCAGTTCGCGTTGCCACCACCAGTCTCCAGCAAATAAATAAAAAGACAAAAACAAATTTCCAAAATTACAATAAAATAACATCCAGGCAACAATACAAAAGGGACACAGCACTGGTTAAAACACAGACGTGACAAGGGTTTAAAAAGGAACTGATCTGGCGCCCGGTATGAAGCGGGGATGCCAGGCGTGGCGGCCGATATTCGGCACATCAAGCTGCAGACAGACCGCACGCAGTACTACAAAGCGCAGTGTGGTAGGACAACGCTTCCAGGGGGGGAGATAAAGGCTGTCAGGAGAACGCCGCGGAGACGAAGCTTCCCTGGAGGTGGAGCTTCAGCGGAGACGAGTGCATGGAGACACAAACTTCACTAGAGACAAAACAGCAGCGACCCCATCCTGCTGATCAACACAACTTCTACTTACGGAAAAAGTGCAGTTAGTAGTTCAGAGTAAAACTGGTTGCTCGCGTATACATAAAAGCACACATACCTGTTCTAGGACACACGCTTACACACAGGAGGAGGGAGGGAGAGGACACTGGCTGTCGCTGGCATTTACCTGTGACCACACTAGGGTTAGCCATCAGATAGTATCCACAACACCAAGTTGAGAGGGACACTCACCAAGCAAATACGCCACTGGAGCCACGGGAGCACAGAGCAGCACGCTCTGTCGCCCGGAAATGACGCACCTCACAGAATAGAGGCGCAAAAGGAAGAGCTGGTGGAGGCGTGCCACTTTTAAAGCGGCCCGCCTAATTGCAGCTCCCTGGTGTTAATTGCCAAAAGGGTGGCACCTCTATACTGCTACAGATGCATTGTTATATTGTAGATGCCAAATTCTAAACGTTTATAGGAAGGACGTCCATCGTTCTCGCTCAAAGATGCCAAAAACTGCATTTCCCAGAAGGGACCTGTTTATGCGCGCAGACTCCGTCGCTCTAAACACTTGCACAGCTCCCTCCTCCCTACTTTAATGCTAGCTAAGATGGTGGTTTGAGCGTAAATGGTCTCCCCTGTGCTAAGAAAAGAAAGGGGCAAAACTTCTCTATAGACTTTTAATCACAACAGAACAACAATACTGCGGTTATCTTAAGTGACCGGCTATAGAAGATTTGACATTTCAGACACATTGGCTCGCAGTCCCCGCCCAATTCGGTGTGACTCCCTTGGAGTGGAATCCTAAGCTAAATACGGACAGGGTAAGTAACGCTAACGTTAGACAAGTTGCTAGCTGGGTTAGCCAGCTACCATTCGCTTGATAAATAAAAAGGCAGTTTTGTCCGTTGCGATTTTTCAGACCGGCTTTAGAGTGATTGCGGGTGTATCAGATCGCTGTCCAGGTAACCTTAATGCCGTGTTGGCAATGTCAGTTGTTTATAGTGCCAACAACTTGCTCCTAGTTCACCGTTAGCTTGTGTAGGCCGCATCCTAAGCTTGGCATGAAAATCCTGTGCATTCGATGATAAAGTAGCATGCTAGCTAGCGTTATGTGTAATAGAATAAGGTGTACCGTTGTGGCATTTATATCTTAGAACGTTTAATGCCAATACAAAGTAAATAACTACCTCTGTCTATTTCAAGTTTGTGATGTTACCTACAATTACTCCCGAGTACGTGTTTATCGGTGGACCGGCTTCTTTTACCATTTCGCGGCTAATGTTAGCTTAGCCAAACGTTAGTCAAATAACATCTGTCACAATGTACCGTTACGATCCAGTGGACAGTGCCGCTAAAGTTACCAGCCCGGCTAACCTTAAATAACGTTAGGTGTTCTGGTTCCACACAGGACTTTACCAACCAGCTCTGCAAGAGAAGCAGCAAAAACCGCGACACTCCCGTACGTGTTAATCTGTCAGCGAAATGTATTCGTAATGTTAGTCTTTTCTGCTATCTAATATAAAGGTGAGGTTTGATTACTCTGGGTTTGTTATTTGTTCAACTGTTGGTAACAGTGTTGTCACGCTGAAAACAAACTGGCGTTTAACTGCTAACAACGAAAGGTTTCGCTGGTAAATAAACGCAGTCTGAAGCATTTCCCTTATGAGTCCTTGTCAACTTCATGATCATTTTTGAAGGCTGGACTCTGACCTTTCAGTTTCCCACAGTCAACCAGGGACTTCTTCAAATGTATTGTTATGTTTAAAATTGAGTCCGTAGTAAAATAAGAATTAGGGTGTCTACAGTAAAATCGTATCACTGCATTTTTTCTGAGATATCAAAAAATACCCCCAGCTTATAAATATATACATATTGTTATGCTTTCATCAGTGATCCGTAGCCTCAGTCGCCATAGGCAATGAAGGTATGTGATGTTTTTTTAAATAAAAATCTTTTGAAATGCTGCTTAAAGAGATCCTATGATCATAAATTGTGTTTCTATCGAGCTCTTAATTGTTTCAGCTCGGAAATATACTTTGGGCAGTTACCGGTATGTAATCTATCCTCTGTGGTTTAAGACCAAACATTAGAAAAAAATCTCAGTGCAGTTCAACAGCGCCATAACCTTCCAAAGAATCATTCTGTTGATTGAACACCTCTGTAACAAGTTCTGTTAAGAACTCAACATTATATATCCGTCATTAAATTCCAATAGTATTTTGGTAGACAGTGGGAGTTAAGCTAGGTCGCCCCAATACAGTCAGTGTAATGTTTCTTTTTCTGATGAACGTACATATATATCGCTGTCCCAACAGTGTGACCTTCGTTGTCATGGTGGCCAATTATTATTATTATAAAATCATCAAGTTCAGTTCACTTGATGTTATTTTTAATGATGTCATGATGGAGCTCCTGAACTCAACCTTTTCTGTTTTCTCAGCCCTGTGCTCTGTGACCAGCTACAACACTCTCCTAAGCCACACCATAGGATGTCCCACAGCCCTGAACTGAAGGACGACCCCATGGAGTGCCCTCTGTGCATGGAGCCGCTGGAGATTGATGACGTCAACTTCTTCCCCTGCACGTGCGGCTATCAGATCTGCCGCTTTTGTTGGCATCGCATCCGCACAGATGAGAACGGCCTCTGCCCTGCCTGCAGAAAGGTGAGGAGATGAAACTCCTCACCAATGAATTCGGATTTTTCTTCAGAAGGAACAAGGATGTTGAGTCTCCCAATGCTAAAACCAGGGGGTAGAAAATATTTGATATACTACTTATGGAGTATCCCTATTTATTAAATCATCAGCTCATCATTTACAATTCACAGCCTCCGCAGGGTAGCCCTGTTGAGCTTCCATATTTACTACTCAGTTACCCACTATCCTTTACAACTCCACACATAAACAACAAGAGTGGTGGATATCACCATCCTTTCTGTGTTTTTCTGCAGCCGTACCCAGAGGACCCCGCTGTGTACAAGCCGCTCTCACAGGAAGAGATCCAGAGGATAAAGAACGAAAAGAAGCAGAAACAGAACGAAAAGAAGCAGAAAGTGACAGAAAACCGAAAGCATCTGGCCAGTGTCCGAGTAGTCCAGAGAAACCTAGTGTTTGTGGTTGGGCTCTCACAGCGACTCGCCGAGCCGGAGGTGAGTACACTGAGATGACAAACTGAAGGCAGCAGCTGCCAGATTTATTTTGAACATTGCGAATAACTTTTGATACTTAATTATTTTAAAGCCCACGTCTCCCTTTATAGAACTTCCCTCTGAAGCCTTTAGAGTGATGTAGTTGTTGGTCTTGTGTTCACAGTGCACCTTATAATAAGTGGTATACATACTTCTTTTTTTGCATTATGTCCACAGGTCCTAAAACGACCAGAGTATTTTGGGAGATTTGGGAAAATCCATAAAGTGGTCATCAACAATAGCACATCCTACGCAGGTTCACAGGTGAGAATATGGATCCAAGATGACAGGATACACATACAACCGCTGGCTCAACATTGAGAAAGGGTCATGCTCAGAGCCCTTGCAAGTTTTACCTTTTTCAGATGCGCCCATAAAAGTACTGGCAGAGTGAACTGAGCACACGCTTAAAATCTGGAGCAAAATACAGTCAGCTTTATAGGTTGTAAAGTTAATTTCATTATTAACGAGCATTGGATCGATGAAGACTTTTGCACCTAACAATTTCAACACAGGCTTTAGAAAGTGGTCAGATATGGGACTGACTTACCTCCACCAGCTATTTGATGATGACAACCTTAAGACATTTGAGCAGCTGAAGAAGGATTTCAATCTCCCTAAAACAGATTTCTTCCGATACCTACAGCTGAGAACCTTTCTAACAACACACCAAGGTTGGAGAAATTGTGTGAATTGTATGCCTATGGAAAGGTTTCTAATAGAGATACAGATGAGAAACGAAGATAAGAAAACAATAAGTAAGAGCTATATAACCTCTTTCTATCTATGAATACACATAATTCCCTACAAATAAAGCATAGATGGAAGGTGGAGATGAACAGGATCATACCACAGAATACATGGGAGGAAATTACCACAAAGGCACACTTGGTTTCAAACTCCAACACTTGGAGAGAATTTAAATGGAAAATAATTACCAGATTCTTCAGAACATATTAGCCAAGATGGGCACACTCCAACTTGTGCTGGCGGAAGTGTGGAACACATGCTGCCAATCATACACATATATTGTGGCTATGCCCCAAGTTAAGTGCTTACTGGAGGGAGGTCTTTGATGCCCTCAGAGAGATATTCCAACAGGACATCCAACAAGACCCCGTCGTAGCACTATTGGGAGCAATACCTGAAGGGCTGGATGGGAGAGCCAAAAAATAGTTCTAATACAGGCATAAGAAAAGCCGAAATTATTTGAAAGAACTGCTGAAAATACAGAAATGTGAAGCTAAATTTCAATAGAATTTCTAAAAAATACAGAAGTTGCAGGAGCTTAAATGAATTTAAAAATACAGAAATAACAAAACCTAAGATGAATAAAAAGAGGTTTTAAATTGTTTGTAGTAATAGTAGTAGTATTAGTTACAGTTTTAACTACTAGTACTACGAGTAGTAGCAGTAGAAGAAGTAATAGTAGGTTTAGTATCAATAGCAGTAGAAACAGCTGTAATACTAATACTATTAGCCATAGTAGTATTTGTAATAACATTAGTAGTAGTTGTAGTATTAATCGCAGTAGAAATACTAGTAGTATGGTAGTAGTATCAGTTGTACTACTAGAAGTACTAGTAATATTCGTAGTGGTTGTAGTAGTATTTGAAAGCAATACGTATTTCAACAAAACCGCTTCATTCTGAGCTTCATGGTTACGGTACGGATAATCATTGAGGCTTTTATTTTGAAATGATGGAATTGGGTGAGGGGGGTTGGGAGACAGAATGTTTGTTATTCAAACTAAGAAGTTTTTAATTAATAGGCCTCATCACAAACATTACAGTAAGAATTCCCTCCATGGGGCTTTTATTTTGAAATTATTGGATTGGGTGGGGTGGGGGGGTGTAGATAGATGGAGGGTGAGAGGGTGAGGAAGGGAGGGGTGGTGAGGAAGAGATAGAGGGAGAGAGAGAGGAGGAGAAATAGACAGACATACTGACTGAGAGTGATTAACAGTGAGAAGAGGTCAGGGTGGAGGGGGGAGGGGGGGCCAGTGTCTTTATCATATTGGTCTGTTGACAGAAAGCATAGCTGCGTCATGTGACTCCACTAATCAGCTCATAGGAGCAGCTGTGAGTCACAGACAGAGATACTGCAGCGTGAGCGAGTAACCACGGCAACGGCGCACCTGTGCTCATTAACGAGCTGCTGCAAAGGGCAGAGACAGGACAGCGAGTTACACAGAATCCACACCTCAAACAAATGATATTCAGCGCAAAACTATAACAGCTATCTAAAAAATACGGCGTTTGTGCGAGACCCAAGACTCTTCCGAACGCATGGAGTTTTTTTTTTTCATGTCTGACCGGTAAAAAATACGGCTCAGGTCGCAGTTTACAAAACGTGTACTTTCTGGATTTTTTGAGAAATATGTCGGCAGATTTGTATTGGAGCCAATGGGGCTTTTGGCAGAGGTTGTGTCACTTTTAACACAACGGAAGCCAAAACTAAAGAACTCTGGGATTCCATGAACACATAAATCCAATCAGCACAACCATGCCCTCATTAATCCAAAGAAAGTTCCATATTTTTTAAACCAGATTCTGACGCTGCCCCACACTCTAGCCCTTCAGCTCTCACTCTAAGAAACGCAATACACACTCATGTAAAACTCAGAAACGGAGCGAAGAACTAGTGAAACATAATCAGTAATTTCTAATAGAGATACAGATGGGAAACGAATATAAGAAAACAATAAGTGAGCTATATAACCTCTTTCTATCTATGAATACACATAATTCCCTGGTGGAGATGAACAGGATCATACCACAGAATACATGGGAGGAAATCACCACAAAGGCACACTTGGTTTCAAACTCAAATATTTAAATGGAAAATAATTACCAGATTCTTCAGAACATATTAGCCAAGATGGGCACACTCCAACTTGTGCTGGCAGAAGTGTGGAACACATGCTGCCAATCATACACATATATTGTGGCTATGCCCCAAGTTAAGTGCTTACTGGAGGGAGGTCTTTGATGCCCTCAGAGAGATATTCCAACAGGACATCCAACAAGACCCCGTCGTAGCACTATTGGGAGCAATACCTGAAGGGCTGGATGGGAGAGCCAAAAAATACCTTCTAAACATACTGCTCACAGCAGCACTAAAGGGTATAACTCTCAGATGATTACAGCTGGATCCCCCTACATACGATATATGGATCCAAAAGGTATTGGACATCTATCAAATGGAACAAATAACATATTCATTACGGCTCCAAAAGCCTATCTTTACAAAACGATGGGGTCCTGTCCCAGCATTACTGATACAATGAGGGTTATTACCGTATGTTGCTCAGCCCTCCAGCTGAATTGTGACCTGCTAACTTTCTCTGTGCACATATCTTGTGCGCATATGCGGCACCGACAAAACAACGTTCAGGGGTGGACAACTATTATTTATTCATCTCCTGATTTTATTTCTTTGTTTTTATTTTAACCTTTCTGTTGGAGTGACCGCCATTTGATGTTCTTTTTGTGCTTTGTACATAACACCTGAATATCATGTGTACCAAGACTACATACAACTGTAAAATGGACATAGAAAGTGACTGTTTGAAAATGCACGTTGTCATGTTGTTGAAAACAAAATAAAAAGTGAGTAAAAAAAAAAAAAAGATGACAGGATGTGCTCTCACTCTATATGTTTTAAACCATATTCGAACTAAAGCTGTGTCCACAAAACACCAGTATTTAGCTGCTTAGATGCGCTTCAGGCTTTCGTCTACACACAAACAGCATTTTGAGTCTCTGAACAGGAGGAGGATGATTGGATGATGGGAAGTTTTGGGCTTATAACGTCAGATTGTTATCTCCTTTTTTAGAGTCACTAATGTGGGGACATGTGTGTGAGTGTGCATGCATGTGGCCCATCCCGCCCAACAGCTTTAACAGTGCTTCATTTTATTTTTTGTTGCAATCTCACGATAACCGCTTCAGTAGATGTGTTGAACTTGTGAGTTTATGTCATTTGTTTTTTCAGGGGCCCAGTGCCAGCGCTTATGTCACTTACATCCGCTCTGAAGATGCTTTGAGAGCAATACAATGTGTGAACAATGTGGTTGTTGATGGCAGAACACTGAAGGTGAGAAGTTTAGCAAATGCATGGTCTGGTAATCAATCACATTTGCATAAAAGTTGTGTCTTCCTGTTATTAAACAACCTGTAATGTTAAAAATATTAAGATTAAACCAAAAGTTCCTAAAAGAATTCTACATCACCATTGCTTCTCCTTTCTTCTCTTTGGTCTCACTGTTACAGGCTTCTTTAGGCACAACAAAGTACTGCAGTTACTTCCTTAAAAGTATGCAGTGCCCCAAACCTGATTGTATGTATCTACACGAGCTGGGAGATGAAGCAGCTAGCTTTACTAAAGAGGAAATGCAGGTAAAATCTTTTTCTCTCTCTAAAATATGGATTCAATCGTTGCTCTACCTTTGTGTGCATATTTGTCGTCGAGGTTCTGTGTGTTATTGAAAGGATTATTGCTGATTCATGTTGTGTCATAATTTTTTTTTTTTTTCTAGGCAGGGAAACATCAAGAGTATGAGCAGAAACTCCTCCAAGACCTCTATAAAATTAACCCTAGCTTTTTACAACCTCCCGCATGTGGAACAGAGAAGTCAAAGGGTAAACCCAACTCCACACAGAGGTAGTTTTCTTTTTTTAAGTGTTTTTTTTCTTAATGCGTCCACTTGTGCTGAGTTAGATTTTCCGGGTTTTGTGACAGATCCAACAGTACCAACGGTAAAGATGGGTGGCCGACCCTGTCAGGACACAACAAAATGGCCAACGGAGTCTCAGAGGACCGCAAGTCTCCTCCGCTGCTAGACTATCTAGACCAAGAAGTTCTCACTTCAGATGGGCTAGAAACGGATCTAGTTCCTGGTCAGCATTCAGCATTGTCCCCCTTCTCCTCCAACTGTGACAGCAACAGGTAATCTGACCTCCTCCTGGACGATGGCTCCAACAAAAACTTGTTCTGTTGAAGGAATAATATTTCATCATATTATTGGTTCGCTCATGAATAGGGCTCATGAATAGGGGTGTCACAATATCAAATTTTTGTTGTGCGATTATTGCACCAACATTTATTGCGATATTATTGCAATCTTCAAAACATTTCATGGCACTGAACAGTATACTGACAGTATAATAGCATAGTAATAAAAGTGCGCTGTTTCAAATTACAAAGAATGTTTTATTTGTCGCAAAATAGTTAGACATTAGAATCAGAATGTGAAAAAATATATCCTATCTAAATAAAACAAAAAAATTAACTAGAAAATGCATTTTCTGCTGAAAGCTGAAATGAACTTCAGAAAATTGTTGAAAATACAGAAAGTTGAAGGGAATTTTAATACATGTGCTTAAATTACAGATAATAGAAAATCAGATTAATTTGAAATTGCTGAAAATACAGAAATGGGAGAAGCTGAAATGAATTTCAATAGATTTGCTGAAAACAGCTGAAACAAATTTGAGAAATTGCAAAAAAATACAGAAATGAATATTAAAACATTGCTGTTAATACAGGCATAAGAAAAGCCGAAATTATTTGATGCTGCTGAAAATACAGAAATGTGAAGCTAAATTTCAATAGAATTTCTAAAAAATACAGAAGTTGCAGGAGCTTAAATGAATTTAAAAAATACAGAAATAACAAAACCTAAGATGAATAAAAAGAGGTTTTAAATTGTTTGTAGTAATAGTAGTAGTATTAGTTACAGTTTTAATTGTGGTATTCATAGTACTAGCAGTAGAAGAAGTAATAGTAGGTTTAGTATCAATAGCAGTAGAAACAGCTGTAATACTAATACTATTAGCCATAGTAGTATTTGTAATAACATTAGTACTTCCAATTCCAATCCATTAGTACTTTCAACTTCCAAGATGGCGTCGTTGATGGCCGCCTCGGTGCTTCGGTGCGCTTCGTTTTTTGTTGTTTTTGTTGTTAATTACGTTTGCTGCTGCGATTCCCGGAGCTCTTTCACCAGAGATGAGCTCTTGAACATCCGTGGAACAACTCCAGCGGAGTTACTTCCAACTTTCCTGCTTTCTTCCGTGGAATTACTGGACATTATAGTCAAAGGTGCGCTCACCTTTCGTCACGTGGTGAGACGCCGTAGGAGAGGAAAACGGGCCGGCTCGCTGGTGAGACTCCGCAGGCGTGGTTCTCGCACTCCGCTGCCAGGCATCTTTCTCTCCAACGTGCGCTCACTGTGCAACAAACTGGACGAAATTCAGCTGCTGATGAGGAGAGACAGAGACTTCTCTACATCCTCCGTCTTGTGCTTCACGGAGACGTGGCTCTGCGGATCGATACCGGACTCCGCGCTCCAGCTGGCGGGCTTCCAGCTGCTCCGAGCGGACCGCGACACGGAGCTCTCCGGCAAGACAAAGGGTGGAGGAATCTGCTTCTACTTCAACAACAGCTGGTGCAACGACGTAATGGTGATCCTACAACACTGTTCTCCTGATCTGGAAACTTTTTTCATCAACTGCAAACCCTTTTATTCCCCCCGTGAGTTCGCTTCATTCATCCTGGTCGGTGTTTACATGCCGCCGCCGGGCAACGTGCACGAGGCACAGCGGACACTCGCCGACCAGATACGGCGTGTGGAGCGGACCAACCCGGACTCTTTAGTCATTGTCCTCGGGGACTTTAACACCCAAATGGTGGAAATCTCACCCACGAACTTCCTAAATACAGACAGTTTATTAAATGCCCACCAGAGAGGAGAACACACTGGATCACTGTTACACCACAGTAAGCAGGGCTTATCACGCCGTCCCTCTGCTGCACTGGGACACTATGACCACGTCATGGTCCATCTGTTTCCTGCATACAGGCAGAAACTAAAGCTCTGCAAACCTGTGGTGAGGGAATTCAAGAAGTGGACCAGTGAGGCGCTGGAGGATCTTCGGGCGTGCTTTGACTGCACAGACTGGGATGTTTTCAGGACTGCTACTGACAGTCTGGATGAGTTCACAGAGGCTGTAACTTCCTACATCGGCTTCTGTGAGGACAGCTGTGTACCATCATGCACCAGGGTGAGTTACAACAACGACAAACCCTGGTTCACAGCGGAGCTCAGAACACTACGCCTGCAGAAGGATCAGGCATTTAGGAGTGGGGACAAAGACTTGTACACAGAGGCAAAATACAAGTTTAGCAAGGCGGTGAGAGATGCTAAACGACTGTACTCTGAGAAACTCCAACACCAGTTCTCAGCAAGTGACTCTGCTTCGGTCTGGAGAGGCCTCAAACACCTCACCAACTACAAGCCAAAAACCCCCCACTCCATGAATGACCTCCGCCTGGCAGACGAGCTCAATGAGTTCTACTGCAGATTTGAAAGACAATGTCCTGATCCCATCCCCCACAGCTCCACCAACCTGCTGCACTCCCCCTCCCCTCCCTCCCCCAGCCCATCAGGTGCTCACGCCTCTTCATCTATATCACCTTCCCCTCCCCCACCAGCAACGACCCTCTCTATTCTGGAGAGAGACGTTAACCGGCTCTTTAGAAGACTAAATTCCCGTAAGGCAGCCGGTCCGGACTCCGTTTCCCCTCACTCCCTGAAGCATTGTGCTGACCAGCTGTCTCCGGTGTTCACTGACATCTTCAACACCTCCCTGGAGACATGCCACGTACCAGCCTGCTTCAAGGCCTCCACCATCATCCCTGTCCCCAAGAAGCCCAGGATCACAGGACTCAATGACTACAGGCCCGTCGCCCTGATCTCTGTAGTCATGAAGTCTTTTGAACGGCTAGTCCTGACCCACCTGAAGTCCCTCACTGACCCCCTCCTGGACCCCCTGCAGTTCGCCTACAGAGCCAACAGGTCTGTGGACGATGCTGTCAACATGGCCCTCCACTACATCCTCCAGCATCTGGACTCCCCAGGAACCTACGCCAGGATCCTGTTTGTGGACTTCAGCTCTGCTTTCAACACCATCATCCCGTCTCTGCTGCAGGACAAACTCTCCCAGCTGCACGTGCCCGACTCCACCTGCAAGTGGATCACAGACTTCCTGTCTGACAGGAAGCAGCACGTGAAGCTGGGGAAACATGTCTCAGCCTCTCGGACCATCAGCACCGGTTCCCCCCAAGGCTGCGTTCTTTCCCCTCTGCTCTTCTCCCTGTACACCAACAGCTGCACCTCCAGCCACCAGTCCGTCAAGCTCCTGAAGTTTGCGGATGACACCACCCTCATTGGACTAATCTCTGGTGGGGACGAGTCCGCCTACAGGTGGGAGTCTGACCATCTGGTGTCGTGGTGCAGCCAGAACAACCTGGAGCTCAACGCTCTAAAGACAGTGGAGATGGTTGTGGATTTCCGGCGGAACAGAGCCCCACCCTCCCCCATCACCTTGTGTGACTCCCCTGTCACTATTGTGGATTCCTTCCGTTTCCTGGGCTCCATCATCACCCAGGACCTCTAGTGGGAGCTGAACATCAGCTCCATCACCAAGAAGGCTCAGCAGAGGTTGATCTTCCTGAGGCAGCTGAAGAAATTCAACCTGCCAAAGACGATGATGGTCCACTTCTACACGGCCATCATCGAGTCCATCCTCTGCTCCTCCATCACCATCTGGTACGCTGCAGCCACAGCCAAGGACAAGGGCAGGCTGCAGCGGGTCATCCGCTCTGCAGAGAGGGTGATCGGCTGCAATCTGCCGTCCCTGCAGGACTTGTTCGCTTCCAGGTCTCTGAAGCGAGCTAAAAAGATCGCGGCCGACCCCGCTCACCCCGGACAAAAACTGTTTGTGCCCCTTCCATCTGGGAGGAGGCTGAGGTCCATCAGGACTAAGGACCTCCCGCCACACGAACAGTTTCTTCCCGTCGGCAGTCGGGCTCATCAACAGAGCCCGGTCCCCCACTGCCTGACTATAACACTCCACCGGTCACTCCCCCTCATACTGCACATGCCACTTTAACTGCAATTCATCACTTTGTCACTTGTCACTTTGTCTCTTGTCTGTTACTTGTTCGTTAGTGCACTTTATGCTTAATATTTTTCTTTTTAACTTTTTAATATTTAAATTTTTTTAACTTTATTCCCTTGTTTTATACTAACCCATAGCCTTAGCCTTATTCTACTAACCCATTGCATTAGCATTTCATCCCACTTTATTTTATTACTTGTGCACTGTTGTCTTGTCTGTCTACTGTCGCGCACTAACCGCCAAGACAAATTCCTTGTATGTTTGACATATTTTGGCTAATACATGTTTCCTGATTCCTGATCCTGATTCCTGAGTAGTAGTTGTAGTATTAATAGCAGTAGAAATACTAGTAGTATGGTAGAAGTATCAGTTGTACTACTAGAAGTACTAGTAATATTCGTAGTGGTTGTAGTAGTATTTGAAAGAGCAATACGTATTTCAACAAAAACGTTTCATTCTGAGCTTCATGGTTAAGGTACAGATAATCATTGAGGCTTTCATTGCGTCTTCATCATGTTGGTCTGTTGACAGAAAGCATAGCTGCGTCATGTGACTCCACTAATCAGGTCATAGGAGCAGCTGTGAGTCACATATAGAGATCCTGCAGCGTGTGAGTGCGAGAAACCACGGCAACGACGCACCTGGGCTCATTAACGAGCTGCTGCAAAGGGCAGAGACAGGACAGCGAGTTACACAGAATCCACACCTCAAACAAATGACATTCAGCGCAAAACTATAACAGCTATCTAAAAAATACGACGTTTGTGCGAGACCCAAGACTCTACCGAACGCATGGAGTTTTTCTTTTTTATGTCTGTCCGGTAATAAATACGGCTCATGTCGCAGTTTACAAAACGTGTACTTTCTGGATTTTTTGAGAAATATGTCGGCAGATTTATATTGGAACCTATGGGGCTTTTAGCAGAGGTTGTGTCACTTTAACACTCAGGAATCCAAAACTAAAGAACTCTGGGATTCCATGAACACATAAATCCAATCAGCACAACCATGCCCTCATTAATCTGAAGAAAGTTCCATATTTTTTAAACCAGATTCTGACGCTGCCCCACACTCTAGCCCTTCAGCTCTCACTCTAAGAAACGCAATACACACTCATGTAAAACTCAGAAACGGAGCGAACTAGAACTAGTGAAACATAATCAGTGATTATGAAAAAAGTAGAATAGATTTCAACAAGCATAAAATATAAACATAAAATAGTTGAGACTTGTGTCAATATTTGAAAGTTTAAATGGTGTCTGTAGCTGAAAGATTGGCGAAGCTGAAAAATCTGAAAGTTGAAGAAGTTTAAGAGGATTTGAACACGATCTCCATTGGAAGACCATTTAAAGGAAATATTCATGATTACTGATTTATATAAATTCAAGCTTAATAGCTAGAAAGCTGAAAAGTCATAGCACCCCTCCCGGGAAAGAGCTGAATATTTTAATATTTGAATGGTTTTAATAGCTGAATGGTTTTAAAAGTGTGAAGCAGTTGAAAGGTGGCGCGGAAGAAATAGAATAATAAAAAGATGTTGAAATAAAGATTCCAAGAACAATACTTGGAATGCTTAATGCATTCCAACAATAAGTGCAAGGGACACGGAGCGGGCGAAGCATCGGGCTTGGTGCGATGCGGTCGGGTTCCAGAAAATGTGTCGGCAGAATGGCACGCCGCGGCAGCCGGGGAGATTTAACGCGGGGCTTCGACCGCCAGCAGGGTGACGCGCTCCGCTCTGGAGGAACCGACAGTAGCTCAGGTTAAAGACGGGCAGATGGTTGTTGTTTTAGGCGAGATTATACCTTAGTTGGGTTCACTGCTTCTCTTCACCTGTCAGTGTCACCTTAGGTGTTGATGACGTTCATTTACACGTAAAATGAATATCGCAGCACCAAAAATAATTGCACGCGATTTCAGAGAGTGTGTGATATGTCATTTTATCGCATATTGCGACAGGCCTAATCTTAATTCCCCCTTCCTGTCTGGCTCAAGAAGTAAAGGCGAGAGCAGCGATAGTTAGAGAGTGAATCAAGAGTGGGATCGGCATTAGTGAGAACAGAGCTGTGAATCAAAACAACTAGACGTGGGCCAATAATAGTGGGTCATGAGTAATGATTGAAAGGGATTCTTTTGGTATGGCTATAAATTGTTTTTTAGGAATTGCTTTTGCTCATCATATCTTGATATCTGAATTCTTTGCTTGTTTATCCACAGTCCCAGTGACAAACTCCCAGAGTCCATCGGTATGGTGAATGGAGAGACTTTACAACAGGTGAACAGCCTCAACTCCTGTTTTTTTACTTTGAAGTGAAGGTGATCCAGGGCAATCTCACAAATGCCTCTCCTCTCTTTTTTTCTACCAGGTGCCCACCAGCAACTCTCCCTCTCCTCCCCCTGGTTTAACCAAGCCCAGCCTCGTGGTGCCCATCAGCGTGTCAGACCTCGCAGTCCGTTCACCCTTCGAGGGAGCAGCCGCTGAGTCCCAGTCGCTGTTTTCAGACAACAGTAACTTCAGACATCCTAACCCGCTCCCCGCTGGCCTGCCCCCCTTCCCCAGCTCCCCTCGCGGCAACTCTGACTGGCCTATGACCCCCGAACCACAGAGCCTCTTTGCATCAGGTAAGGGAAGATTAAACACAACATTCAACTTTAGTGCAAGAGAGCGCAATTATGTGCTTTAAATATTATGAAGCCACTTATATTCTATCTATCAGGATCCTTCTAAGATCAGAGCCTCTAAAAGGAATTTCAGTTGCCCTCTTAAAAACCAATGAAGTGTGTCTGGAATTGATTCGAGGCCTGTGCTATGAAGCAGGTTCTGGTTGTAGCGAAGTAACTTGAGGGTTAACTCACTGTTTTCAGTCGTACATCTGGCCGGGGTAGATCACCATAGTTACTTGTGATGAACACCTCACCTGCTCCACAAATGAAATAACAGATTGACCCACATGGAAGCACATACTGACCTATCAAAGCTTGTTAGATAATATTCCACAAGTGTGAAGAAGTTAAATTCATAATCCAGGATAAATTCATAGCAGTTTAATTTAGATACAGATTAAGATACATCTGACTATAGTCACATGTGTATTCTGTTCATTTCTTCCGGCGTCTGTCACAATATTTTAGTCTTATCAGCTGTGAAAGCATGAAAGCAAATAAAGAAGTCACTAAATATTCTCATCATATATTCACATATGTACTTGCTTATTTCTGTGAAAGAAGCCTCTCGCAGACTGACAGACTGGATGCAACGTTCCTTTGCTCCAGTTACTTCTATGTGTTCTGTGGGGCATTAAAGGTTATGGACGGAAACCTTCTGAACACCTTGACTTGCACACAGCTGAAAACGACACATTAATTTAACAGACTGCACATGTGTGATTTAATGTGAACACGCTCCATTGAAACTAATCACTTAGACAGCTCCTGTAACGTGTGTGTGTGTCTCTCCTCGCAGACACAATACCAGTGTCTTCTTCCACAGACTGGCAGGCGGCCTTCGGCTTCGGCTCGTCCAGCAAACAGCAGGATGACGATCTGGGCTTCGACCCCTTCGACGTCACTCGCAAGGCCTTGGCTGACCTGATAGAGAAGGAGCTGTCTGTGCAGGATCAGAGCCCCTTTTCCCCGGGGCTCCTCCCCCACGGTGGGAACAACCATGGACTCGGCCTGTCTCCATTCAACCCCAACCCCGGCACCCCACACCACTTCCCCAGCAGCATGCCACGCCTGCCCCCGCTCCACCACAGAGCCATCTACAGCTCCTTCAGCTTCCCCGGCAGCCAGAACAGCCCGGCCAGTCAGCAGCAGCAGCCAGCCGCCAGACACCCCTGGATGGGCGTCCCGACACGGAATAACCTCACACACTTGAACCACTCAGCTAGTGCTGCCTCACACAGTAATTTCCTGGACCTGAATCTGCCCCTTCAGCACAACACAGGGCTGGGAGGGATCCCCATCTCAGGTACCAGACATCTATGTTGCCACCGCACCTTTCTCTGCCCTGTGTGAGCAGTCTCACGTTAAAATGGAGATCAGATGTGTTGCTGCTGCACCCGAACTGACAACCCTGTTTGTTTTCTTCTCCTCATGCAGAAAATAGTGGCTCTATAGACGGCTTAAATGTGAAAGAGTGGCAGGACGGCCTGAGAGCGCTCCTGCCCAACATCAATATCAATTTCGGGGGCCTCCCAAACTCCTCTTCCTCGTCATCCTCCTCGTCCTCCAACAGTGTAAACCACATTGGTGGGCCGGTGGGGCCAGCAGGCATCTCACACAGCCTGAGCTGGGACAGCTCAGCCAGTTGGATGGACCCTGCTATCATCACAGGTAGAGAATTTTATTTAAATGAGTAAGAAAATCAAACAACAATATTTTGGATATTGGATTATTGTGTAAATCATTTATAAAGCAAAAATGCCAATCATTTGTCGGATGCAGCTGCTGTTTTATATAATAGTAAATACAATTTTAGTTGCAAATATTATTTTCATAGCTGTCCATCTGCTGCATATTTGCTCAATTTATTGCTTGGTCTATGAAGATGCAAGTAAATGGTGAGCATTTTTCATCAGAACTTCCTCAAGCACTTCAAAGTTGTACGTTGAGTATACTAAAATACAAGCCAACAGCAAACTAATTATTATACTGGAGCCACTGGACCCATCAAATATTATACATTTGGTCAGATTCAGCATCTAAAAACAGGTTATTAATTAATAAGTGAGTCATTTTAGCTCTTTGTAAAATTTTGTTTTGGACTTAATATTAAACAATAATTTTAAAGGTGACTGAACGTTTGCTCAATAATTGGTACATTTGAGTAATTGATAAATCTTTTACACAGTCGAGTTTGGAAATGGGGACTCTCAGCAGAAAGCACTCTCCATTTGTCAGCCTTTTACAGGCTCTCACCAGTGGTGCTGTCTGCACAGCAAGAAATTACCTCATATGCAGTATTGAAACTAGAGGTGATCTTTTTCTTTATATTAATATAAATATTCCAGCAACATGATTTTATTTAATGGCATATGCAAATCTTTTGATTAATCATGATAATAATTGCAGGTTTCATGAAGAATAAAAAACAGCAGTTAGTTAAAGATCTAATTACAAGATTAAAAACAATTGTAAAAATGCTTGTAGGATTAAAAAAAGTTCCCCCAAACTTTACATTTTCTTAAACCAAAATCAACTTTACACAGTCAAAATTATTTTTTAAGTACAGTTGTTTTGAATGAGTTGACATAAAGTCACTTTTTTGTGTCATGTAAATCGATCACATTGTTTGTATTTACTACAATGCTGTTATGCTTATCTGCCCCACCCCCGCCTTAGGCATCCCGGCCTCAGCAGGCAACAGTCTAGACTGTCTCCAGGACGATAACCCACCACACTGGCTCAAGTCCCTGCAGGCGCTCACAGAGATGGACAGCCCGGCCAGCTCAACGGTGCCAACTCCACTCCAGCCCAACCACAGCGGCCTCCTGGACGCCCACCTCCCGCTCCACCACAGAGCCGCCGGCGGCTGGGCTCCCTACCTGGCCCCGACCACAGCCAATCCCGCCAGCCAGTTCCACTCACCTCCACCCGGCTTCCAGACCGCTTTCAGACCCCCGGGACAGCCCGCCACAGAGTTGCTACAGAGTGCCCCTGTGGACCGTCACTGAACAGACTCCAGCAAACACCCCCCCACTCCCACTACCACATTATACCCACTCACTCTGTAACCCCGCCTCCCTCCCCTCAATGCAATACACACCAATCTGCAGAGAATGGAAAATGATTAACAAAGTAACAAACACACTTTCTTCTTTTCTCTTCCTCCTTTTGTCTGCTCCGAATGCCTGTTTGTTTTTATTTGTGCACAAGTGTTGGTAACCTTTACCTGCTACCACCATTACAACTCATTAGACACATCTGTGGGCGTGACGCGGGGTTCATCGCTCGGCTCGCTGTTAACGGAGAGCACAAGAAACGGTGTGGCTTCGAGCGCCCATCAGTGACACAAGAGTTAACTCTACAAACTGACCAAGAAACAGATTACTGAAGGGAGACCATTTTGAAAAAAAGTAGCAAATGATTATTCATGAAAAACATTTTGTGTTTTTTGAAAGTTGAAGTCACGATGCGTTTTCGAGGAATGAAGCAAGCTGTGAATCTGCTCTTGAAGCTTTGCCCCAAATACCCTCATCCTCCCCACCCACCTTAACAGGAGACTGTAGAGTGTTTAACCCTCATAGCTGATGAGGTGACACTCACACACACTCAGAGAAATAGGTTTTGGCACAGCTGAGAACTGGTTAATCAGAGAGCGAATGGTGACGGTACCGGTGGACCCAGGGCTCAGGCTATGTACGGAGCTCCCTGTTAGGTAGGGAGACAGGCGGCCGGCTTCAGAGCCCTCCCGGCCCACTTTGCAGTTAGAGGCCCCGCCCCGCTAGAGGAGATTTTGCTGAACCTCTGTATCAGAGGATAGAGCAGTGCCTAACCGCGGGGCGCCGGGCTCTGGGAGATTGTGGCACACATTCTCAGCACTAGGGTTGGAGTCTTGCTCACAGTGCCACTGTGTGGTACCTACAGTAACTAGCCCTGACACGGACGGCCACCATGTAGATGGCACGATGCCTGCTTGGAGGAGGATACGTCAGAAATGACTAACGAGGGCAGCAAGCAGGTCCCTTTGTTTGGCACACGGGGGCTTGAACGAGGCCTTAACATGGACAGATGAGAGGCAGGAGTGATGGCAGGAGGAGTCTAGCGTCAATGGTTGCTGGGAAATATGCAATATTGTATGTGACTGCAGTGACCGTATGTCCCAAAGTAAGGTGCTGCAAGACAATACCACGTACTGTAGTAGTGATTTAGGGAGCGTTCAGCCTCTAGGATTCGAGATCAACCTCTCCGACCACCGCTTTTTTCCTTTTTAATTTTTTTTTATTGAAGTCTTAATTCTGATATTCTGTCTCTCTCTCTCTCATACCTAACCCCCCCCCCCTGCCCCCCTGCCCCCCTCCCCTACACCTCCCCTCCTGCTGTTCCCTATTTAACAGTATTTCACAAAAATGAACAAACTCATTCAGGAGAAGCCAACAGAGTCCTTCCGTGGGTTTTAACATGATGTTGCGCGGGGGAAAAAAAACAAAAACAAAATCGAGACGCTTAAAGAAAGTGAACTGTCCTCTGCAGGTCTGAAAAAATGAACCGTAAATAAAACTGAAAACTCTGGAGCTGGTGTTTGTCTTCTGTTGTGTTCTCAACACCTTGATTCAAACATGTGCACTTGAAATATTTCAACTTTAAAGTAGTCACCACCGACGTATTTTGTAAAAGCGCTCAGGAAGGTCACTCTAAATAATTCTTTCTTGTTCCAATGTCTTCCTCTAGGGGCGCGTATTCCTGTCAGTGATGAAGCTCTGCAGTCGAACACACAAAGACGTTCCAGTTAGTGATGCTACAGTTTTCCAGATCTACCAGTTTTTTTCACATTAACAATCTATTTGATTGTTTTAAGTATATTAGAAGCACATTAAACGACAATGCTGCAAAGAGGAACCAGGTGATGTCACTTCGCTCAGAGCCGCATGTTTGTCTATTCGGTGGGATCCCAGCATGTGTGTGCATATCGCAGTCCTTCGGTTTGCAGCTCTGCACTCTCCTAGCCCAGTGCAGCAGTAGATACCTGCAGTAGAGACTCGTTCTTTCCTGTGGATACTGGTACAGAGGGCGCACTATTTCTGCTCTCCGGTGTCTGAATCATGGCACTCAAGATACACAGGATTTGTCTTTACCGTCCCAAGAAGCCGATGCAAACATGCTCCTGCTTACGGCTGCTGTTCATGATCATTTGTATTATCAACTAATCTGCAAGTAACTCATTTGTAGTCGCACACTTGACCAAATTGAGAATCCAGGTTGTAAATGACTGATACAATTATTCAATAGTCCAGGATTTTTTTTACTCTCATCAACTATAATATGTTTTTGTTTTGACTCGGGCTTTTGATGGCCCCGCTAGTTCCAGCACCTTGATTTTAAGTCCCCTTTTTTTGCCCTCCTGGTTTCCGGTAGGGCAAAATATATGCCGGCAAATATATGGCCCTTCGGTTTTCTCCAATAACCGTACGTCTAGTTTCTCGACCTCATGCTTCACCCATCTCTAAGGTCAGACCTTCTTGTTTCAGCCTCCTCTAATTTACATCCCCTCCAGCATGAGGTTCTGTAGTTTAAGGCCCCTCTGTTTTTCGGCTGCGGGTACAGAGTAGACGTGAGCGGATAATAGTGAGTGTGTGTGAATATTGCAAGCAGGCAGCAGATTGAGGAGCTGTGCCAATGAGTCAGCACCAACGCAGATGCGGCGAAGGGAATGGAAGGGAAGGGGGGGGGGGGCTCTGCTGAGAGTGTTCTCGGACAAACACACACTCGAGCAGACGCTGCATTGAAACATAATGGAGGGATCTTTGGGATGATCCACACCTGACAAGAATAGCATCGGTTTATTTTTCTACATCTACAGAAAAAAATAACACCGTTCCAGTTATTAACTGCAATGTGGCAGCCAGCGTTGCCTAAAACAATTGATTTGTTTACTGATTTGCTTGTTTTTCTGAAACTGCATGTTGGAAAGGACTGTGGAGCGAGGATGAATGATGAAGCAAAAGAGGTTGGATATAATTCATTGAGACATACCAGCTCCAATTTGCATATTGCAAAGACCAAAATTGACTAAAATTGTCATGAATTAAGAGTAACTGAATGATTTTTTTTAATGCTTTGGACCTACAATGCCCTTCCTTTTAAACGGCATAACTCAGAAATGCTGCGTATTAGGAAATAAATGTCTACAAAGAGCATTTTGCCGTGGCCAGGTGTTTCATCGGGACAAGCAGAAAAAGGCCTGATTTTTCACTCCGTCTTATGCAGGGGTTCAGCTCGTTAAACTGCTGAAATATGGCTTTCCTTGAGGACTGTGGCTGTGAGGGCATGTGCAGAGGGCAGAGAAGCTGGAGTGGCTGCCTGTGAGAATGAGCTGCCTGTGCCGAGAGGCACCGATGGATTATGAGATAACAAATAATGAGAATAATGTATAGTGTGTAGGCGGTCAGCGTCTGCTTCAGTGACATTTAGCAGGTGAATCAGATCTCGCGGGTGCTGCTGTGTTTGGTTCACACTGGAGATGAAGAACGGCCTTAAGCTACTTTCCACAACAGATCCACACCAACACATCCTCCGCACTGTATTATGGACTAAAGACTGCACAGAATATTGTGTATAGAGAAACAGTCGAGGAAAGCTTGCAGTTTATACTTTATCAATGAAAGGCAAGAATTATTCATTTGGGAAATAAGTTGAAAAAGCCGTGGTAATATGTTCACCTGACTCCCTCTTTCAATTTCTAAAACCTTTATTTATTATTATTTGAGGAGTACTGATCTTATTTGCTTCTCTAAACCCCTTTTTTGTATTTGTTTGGGTTTCCCCTTCTACTTAATATACACACAGCGTAGCCACCAACTATGAGACTTTGTTGTTCTTTGTCTTTCCCAAACTGTATTTTAAGCAATCAGCAATTCAACTCCGAACCTTCCTCAGCATCTATGGACAACCACAACTTTCATTTTCATTTCCATATATATATATATTGTTGTGGAATATTTCAATAAAAGCTCGGTAGAAGAGAATGATTTGTCTGATAAAACAGAGTCTTGATGAATGATCAAAGTTGCAAAAAGTCCATTTATTGCTTGCAAGCAGGAGGTCAAATACACAGGCACGTATCACAGTGCTCTGTGGAAATGGCGTCTCCGAGCAGTAAGAACGCTGAGTTTTTATACACATGTGAAGAACATTCTCCGTGCCAGTTACGAGAAGCTGCAAAGCAGGTTGAGATAAGAACCCAGGTGAAGCTGAGGGTAGCACACACACAAGATCCTCCTCAGTGGCCGCTGCAAATCATAAGACATGAAAGTAAAACGTGGATCCGGAACTTTCGTACCGAATAAGATATGAACCAAGGCCATGAACAGAAGTCCTTTGTTTTGAAGCTTCTATGAGATCGAGTCGACCGCCCTCCCTTCTCAGAGCACAGCTGCAAACTAACATTTTGTATCATGCTGCTCTTTGCACATCAGGGTCAAATACAGGACACTTGAGACACGGCTTTAGCACAAAACAATGTTATAACATATTTTTACCATTACAATATATATATATATATATATATATATATATATATATATATATATATGATGGTTGCCAGTAGGCAGAAATGGGGACTCTCAGCAGAAAGCACTCTCCATTTGTCAGCCTTTTACAGGCTCTCACCAGTGGTGCTGTCTGCACAGCAAGAAATTACCTCATATGCAGTATTGAAACTAGAGGTGATCTTTTTCTTTATATTAATATAAATATTCCAGCAACATGATTTTATTTAATGGCATATGCAAATCTTTTGATTAATCATGATAATAATTGCAGGTTTCATGAAGAATAAAAAACAGCAGTTAGTTAAAGATCTAATTACAAGATTAAAAACAATTGTAAAAATGCTTGTAGGATTAAAAAAAGTTCCCCCAAACTTTACATTTTCTTAAACCAAAATCAACTTTAGATTATTTCTCGTTATTGTCTTTTCATTGTTTTGCAAAACCATATTTTGAATACAGACTCAGTCAAACACTGGCTGACTGATATTTTTTGAGGAGTGCACACAAGCCTTTACTGTAAACTCGACCATCAGCCCAGTTAATGTGTCCTGGACACTGAAAACTGGTCACTCCATCATTGCACGGTGTCTAATGCGTCTCCGGCAAGAAGTGTCTATATGTACTGCAACATAGATGGATGGATTTATCCAACAATGTCTCTTGTCCTCAGTGAAAAGACATGCAGTGTAGACATGACATCATTCAATGGGAAATTCATATTCAATCTGAGCTTTCAAATAGCTGAATAGTACAAGTTAAAATTGGTTCTTAGACAAACTGAGACCTACAAAGGAATTTTAATAAATGAACCAAATCAGTCAGATTGGAGTGATGCGTTGAAGGAGATCAATGATGGCTGTCGTGAAATGTCCAGTTAAATAAAGGATAAGGATACTGTAATGTAATATAATGTAATGAAACAGCCAGCCTGGCTAAAGTAAAAAAAAAACTTCTTCAGCCCACTAGTAAACACATTGTGTATCTTTTAAGTTATGGCATGTTGTGGTTGCATGGGTTTTGTGTCATGATACGTTGATACGTTGGTTGATAAGTTTCATTTAGCTCTTTACACCAAATTAAGAGGAAAACAACTCTCTTTGTGCTATGCTAAGCTAACCTGCTGATGTCTATAGCTTTGTTAGGAACGGCTAGGGGGTCGTATTAGGTTACTAGCAAATGAGGAACTAACTTATGGACATTAATGGAATTATTAATAATCACTAAGATACTTCTCAGAATAAATAAATAACGGGGTACCACCCTGAGCTAACATTGACTAATAACCAATACTATAAATCAAGTCTCATAATTGATATTCAGTCCTTGAGAGTGAAGATGTTGGAAGGAGTTAAGTTCGAGCACTGGCAATGTATGTCAACTGTCACCACCATATAAATGCACAAGTAAACACAGGAAAACGGTTCTTTAAAGTATAACAGGGTTTATTAACTCACAGAAACACCGATCAAGATCACCTATAACTGCAATCAACAATCCCTATAACACTCATTTTAAACCTACTCACTAAACAGTGTGTGTGTGTGTGTGTGTGTGTGTGTGTGTGTGTGTGTGTGTGTGTGTGTGAGTGTGTGTGTGTGTGTGTGGGTGTGTGTGTGTGTGTGTGTGTGTGTGGGTGTGGGTGTGGGTGTGGGTGTGTGTGTGTGTGTGTGTGTTTGTGTGTGTGTGGGTGTGGGTGTGGGTGTGTGTGTGTGTGTGTGTGTGTGTGTGTGTGTGTGTGTGTGTGTGTGTGTGTGGGTGTGTGTGTGTGTGTGTGTGTGTGTGTGTGTGTGTGTGTGTGTGTGTGGGTGGGTGTGTTTGTGGGTGGGTGTGGATGTGAGCACGAAGGAGGGTGCGAGAGAGAGGGGGAGAGACGAGGGGGATGCAGGGAAGGAACGGCGGTGCGGTTGCGCGCAACAACAAGCGGAGTGCCGATTATCACACCAGGGGGCGAGCGAGAGCAGCGGGGCGGGAGTGAGACCGTTAAATCAAACCACCGAGGAAGACGGGAACGTTAGGCGGTGTAA